TCCCAGCCCCCGACGGGAAAACTAGCCAAAGCGACCTCTGGGGGCGGGGTCGCTGAACGTCGAAGCGCTGAAGACCTCCTATTGACGCAGAACTGTACAGAAACCGGCCCGACATCACATACTGCTGCAAAGGATGGCCGACTTTCACTCGACATAGTAGTGATAATTGATGGTTGTGCAGTTAATGCGTTAGTGGACACCGGCGCAGACTATTCCACACTGAGCGGGAAACTGACAACGCAGCTGAAGAAAGTCATCACGCCGTGGCATAACTCGCAGATTCGGACAGCTGGTGGCCACGTCGTTACTCCACTGGGTGCCTGCACAACTAGAATACAGATTCAAGGGTACAGCAAGCTGCCTTGTTCTACGCGAATGTTCCCGTGACGTCATTCTGGGAGTTGACTTTCTACAAGAAAATGGAGCTATCATTGATCTGCAAGAGCGCCGCGTCACGTTCTCAGCCCAGCGAGCAATCAACGTGCAGGATGGTGGAAGGCGTGTCGACGTACTCCGTATTTCTGAACAGAGTGTGACGCTTCCTCCACGAACAAGTGTTCTAGTCGACGTAACATGCTGTGGTTTGGGCGATGGCGATGTGGTGGCTGAGACAAATTTAGAACACCTCCTGCAGCAAGGCATTTGTGTAGCTAGAAGTGTAATACACCTTCGTGATGGTCGATCTGAATTGCTCGTAACCAACTTTAGCAACGAGCATCGACATCTTTTCCGTGGCACTTCGATAGCGTTTGCCCACGAAGTAGCAAACGTCACCAACTGTTTCACGTCGGAAATAGTGGATACCGCCGACACGTCAATGAGTAATATTGACATCAATCCTGATCTGTCCACCGTTAACCAGACTGCACTACGAGCGCTCTTGTTCGAGTTCAGGTCTTGCTTCGCAACTTGCTCAAAGATCCGCCAGCCGTCCATCACTCAACACAGGATCATCACGTACGAGGACGCACGTCCGATACACCAGAACCCCTACCGCGTGTCGGCCAAAGAACGTGAAGCAATACGTACGCAAGTCACCGAGATGCTTGACGATGGCGTTATTGAACCATCTAACAGCCCGTGGTCATCTCTTGTCGTACTTGTCAAAAAGAAGGACGGGTCGCTACGCTTCTGCGTCGACTACCGAAAGCTTAACAACGTGACGAAAAAGGATGTGTATCCGCTGCCACGTATCGACGATTCACTGGATAGACTTCGTCGTGCCCATTATTTCACTTCTCTCGATCTCAAAAGCGGGTATTGGAAAATTGAAGTAGATCAGCGAGACCGTGAGAAAACAGCCTTTGTGACTCCAGACGGCCTATACCAATTTCGAGTGCTTCCTTTTGGCTTGTGTTCAGCACCGGCAACTATCCAGCGAATAATGGACACTGTCCTCGCAGGGCTCAAGTGGCAGACTTGTCTTGTCTACCTTGATGATGTGGTGGTCTTCTCTACCACGTTTGAGCAGCACCTTCACCGCCTGCGCAGCGTGCTGGAGGCTATCCGATCGGCGGACCTCACACTAAAGCCACAGAAGTGCCACTTCGGCTATAAAGAACTAAAATTTCTTGGACATGTAGTTAGCGCCGAAGGAATCCGTCCCGATCCGGACAAGCTTGCCGCTGTTGCCGAATTACCAGCTCCTTTCGATAAGAAAGCCGTCCGGCGCTTACTTGGTTTGTGCGCCTACTATCGCCGATTCATTCATGGCTTTTCACAGATAGCAGAACCTCTGACTCGTCTCACAAGGGACGACACACCGTTTGTCTGGGAAAACGAGCAACAAGCAGCTTTTGATGAGCTGCGACAGCGCATGCAATCAGCGCCCGTTCTCGCTCATTTCGACGATGATGCTGACACGGAGGTCTATACCGACGCTAATAACATTGGGTGCAGTGCTCGTTCAGCGTCAAGAGGACATCGAAAGAGTGATAGCCTACGCCAGCCGCTCTCTATCCCGTGCCGAGGCGAATTATTCCACTACGGAGAAAGAGTGCCTCGCAGTCGTGTGGGCAATCACCAAGTTCCGCCCGTACCTTTATGGTCGTCCCTTCAAGATAGTGACGGACCATCACGCGCTCTCTTGGTTGGCAAGCCTGCGTGACCCTTCAGGTCGGCTAGCACGGTGGAGTTTGCGGCAACAGGAATTTGATGTCACCATCGTCCATAAGTCCGGCCGTAAGCATGAAGACGCTGACACACTGTCACGCGCACCCCTTCATGTCGTCAGTCAGGAAGCAGAGGAAGACGAAGGCTTTCTGGGCGCCGTTAGTGCATCAGACTTGAGCAAACGACAGCGAGATGATGCAGAGATTCGTCCAATCATTGATCATTTAGAGGGCCAGGGCGCAATCATACCACGTCATTTATCCCGCTCGTTGACGTCGTTCTGCCTACGAGACGGTGTGCTGTACAAGAAGAACGCTCGTTCGAACAATCGTGCTTACCTCCTGGTGGTTCCTCGAGACATGCGAGACGACGTCCTCTTCGCTTGCCATGACGAACCCACATCCGGTCATCTGGGCTACTCAAGGACACTTGCCAGAGTGAGCGAGAGGTACTATTGGCCAGGACTTTCAGCAAGCGTAAAGAAGTACGTAAAGAGCTGTCGGGAATGTCAGCGCCGAAAGCAACCGTCTGTTAAGCCAGCTGGTTTGCTTCAGCCCATTGAAGCACCCTGCACGCCGTTCGACCAAGTCGGCATGGACATTCTGGGGCCATTTCCTATGTCTGCGGACAGCAACAAATGGGTGATCGTCGCGACCGACTATTTGACACGCTACGCTGAAACCCAGGCGATCCCACGAGCCACGGCTTCTGAGGTAGCACAATTTTTCATGCGCCACATTGTGTTACGACACGGTGCTCCTTCCAGTGTAATAACGGACAGAGGGACGGCATTCACGGCGCAGCTTACGGACGAAGTTTTCAAACTGAGCAACACCAGACACCGAAGGACAACTGCGTACCACCCGCAAACCAACGGACTTACTGAACGACTGAATAAGACCCTCGCAGACATGATCTCAATTTACATCGACGTACAGCACAAAACGTGGGACCGGATCTTGCCTTACGTGACCTTCGCGTATAATACCGCCGTGCAAGAGACCACGCGATTCACGCCATTTCGGCTTCTCTACGGCCGCGAAGTGCAGACCATGCTAGACTCAATGCTACCGTGTCAGGACGAAGACGAGTTGGCAACAGACGCCGAAGAATTCGCAGAGCGTGCCGAGGAAGCCCGGCAGCTCGCGCGACTGCACATCGGCCAGCAACAGCAGGCAGACGCACGACGCTATAATACCCGCCACAGAGAAGTGTTTTACAGCCCCGGAGATCAAGTTTGGGTGTGGACGCCCGTCCGCCGCCATGGCCTCAGTGAAAAGTTGCTGAGCCGGTACTTTGGCCCATATAAAGTGTTACGTCGCGTCAGTGACGTGAACTACGAAGTGGTTCCGGACTCAACACCCCATGCACGGAGCAGGACACGGCTGAGGCCGGACGTAGTTCATGTGTTGCGCATGAAGCCATTTATTGCGCGTTGTTCGTAACTTTTCCTTTACCGTACCGCGTTTTTTGTGTTTTTTGTTTATTTTGTGAACTTACTTTCTCGTTCATTGACGTTTCCTATGTTGGCACGCTCTTCAATTTTTACTTTCACTTCATCCGAATTTCCATTTTTTTTCACGTGCCTATGTAGTAGCATCGCGGTGCTGCTGTGTACTTTCCTTTCCTCTTTTTGGTACTTCTTTTTTTTCTTTTCGGAAGGGGGGATAATGCCACCAGCACGTAGTGGGTTGACAGCAAGAGCGGCTCTCAATCTGGAGGAAAAAAGAAGATCGCGTGCTTCTTTGCTCGAGAGCCAGCCACGACTGACGCATCGTCCTAGTGCTAGCTACCTGGTGGTTTAATAAATCCCCCAGTACTTGTGACTCATCCTGACAATATTGTTTGAGACTACCCTACACAATGACTACAGGCAACCCGATCCAGACGATATGACTATATCACCATCAACACATTCTCATCTTAGTTTGGGAACTTATACCCGTGCCACACGGGCAGAGAAAATGGCATTTACCTCTTAATGCCTTAAGATTGAATGTCAATCGCGCGGTGCCACACGGATGAATGAAATGGCATTCGGCCAAATGCCATTCGTCACCTAATGCTATTGCCAAAACTCATTCAACTGAGTTTTGGCAATAGCCGGAAAATACTGTAAGATCTTCAGCTGGAAGATACTGTAAAATAAATGCGACAGGCACCATTTTCCTTTAAGCTGTGGATCTGACAAGCATTGGCCTAGGTGTAGCTTTGGCATTCGCTTTGGACGTGTAGCAGCGCCGCCGAAAAAAAATTTCATTCAGGAAATCAATGCCTTCGCTACCGAATGCCATTTTCTATGCCTGAGTGTCTTGCATGCTTTTGGTGTTGCTGCATGACAATTCACTTATCTCTTTTTTTATGCACCTCCAGCACATGAAAGGTCTGCCACTGCTAGCCTCGTGAATTATTGTCTCCTTGTGACGTCACACTGCAATGACATGTTACTGGGAAATCACCCCCACGATTCCACAACCAGCAGCGGTATTGATATATTCAACGCCTATTTAAACACCACATCACTACTTTTAAGGCACTCGACACCAGTGTTGTTACTTACAACAAGAATCTGAAAATATATAAAATTTGTGTCAGCACTCCTTTGATGCCGTTATAAACACTCTAGCTATGGTGTTATCTATGCACCATACTACTTTGCTCGTGATGCATTGACCTTGGAAGGTGCTATTTAAGAATAAACACATGCACAGTAAACAAATACATTTGTTAGTGAGCAATTTTATCATTACATTACCTGCAGTGCGCAATTAAACTGGGACGACCATGTTCGTTAGCAGCTACATGTTTAGAATGCAGGAAGTATTACTTGCCTGAGCTGGCATGCTTGTCAGTGCCAAAACACGGCTGCAGACAAGCTTCAAACTTACCTTCAGTGCCACGACGTACTTGGTTGTCTTCTCGCGTGCGAGGTACACATTGCCAAACTTGCCTTTGCCAAGTGGCCGACCAATCTCAAAGTCCTGGAGACACCACTTCTTGACCGACCTGCAATGATAACAGAATGGTGAGTACAGTTGATGGGGGTAGGACATTGATGAACGAAGTTGAATGACAGCGATGATAAGATTTCATATGCCGAAAGCGACACGATGAATTATGCGCACGTACCAAATCCCCAGATTCCTCACCTTGCGCGTAGCCTCACCTTGCGATTGTACGCGTGTAGCCATAAATCTCCCGATAAACTGCCTCAACATCAGCGAAGAAATCTGAACAAATTTAAGTCGTACAGAACAGCCACATATCGACAGTTATTGTGACCTAAGCAGCTAGCAGACGTTTTCCGCTACTGAACCATGCAGAGGCGTCAGTAGAACAAGTGAAGTGTTGGGGTGCGACAGCTACACCCGGCAAATTGATCAAATGGGAAACACATGGCACCAGACTGCGCCACTTGCTGCGAGAGAGAGAGCTTCGGCAGAGTCAAAGCACATAAGACTTCTGAATACCGTCGACATTGGAAAAAGCAATATCTCGTCTGGGCTCGCAGCCGTATTCAGATGCAATTCAAGCAATTGACGTAGCTCGCAAAAAAGTGGCACCAAGCTAATGCCAAAGATCGCGAACGAGGCGTAAGGACGCGCTGTTCTTGAAACGCCGTTAAATTTCTTCTATGTAAGACACTGCTCTTGTCAATTCCTTGACGAGGCAATGTCGTGGCTCTCTCTGTAAGGCAGCTGAGTTTCGGAAAGCTTTTCAAACGAGGACATCACGACGGAACTCGTGATGACATCGAAAAGAAAGCGCGAGCTCGCCGAGTGCTTCGAAATGGTACTCACATGACGGTGAGAACGTTTTCTGGCACAAGGATGACGTGCAGAGAGACGACGAGACGCAGCAGCAGGCGTCACGAGTAAGAAGGGCGAGTGAAGCAAGACTGCTATGCGCCGCAGACCCACCACAGAACACCGAGCAACCAATTCGATCGAATTTTGCTTGCTTGCTTGCTTGTTCCTTTCTTTTGTGGCTCTCACCCACTAAGGGGGATTGGCCAAGAAGCCGGTGGTTAATGCAAGTAAATACATATAGATTTTCTAGATTAGGGGAATATGATTACTGTGTTTTGACTGGGGAAATTAATTTGGCGCAATGTCAGGAAAAAAAAGAAAAAGGGGGTGGGAGAAGTAATAGAATTTGTTGAATATCTGTGGTGGAATCGTTATATGAAATTCTCCTGAAAGTTGAATCATTGCAGTGTATCAGGTAAAGAAGAAGTGGTAGTGTGACTAGTAAAATTCGTGAGCTGATCGCTGACTCAGCAAGGTAATCTTCTTGTGTTATATATGAGTTCGCAGAGAGATCGAATTTTCCGGCTGCCGCTGTCCACTGCACCCGCGCCCATGAACACAAAGTCGACGCTTGGGGACGCACCAGTCGGTACCAACGAGTTTGTATCATTAATTAGGCATAACTCTTTGGACATAATTTATTATTAACTAAAATCAATAAAAACAACATGTAATAGTTTTAATAAACTGCATAGGTAAAAATAAGTTCTGGCTTGATGCAGTTTTGTTTTCGGTACTTGTACGACTGTGATTGGACTGACTAGCTCTCTTTCCCCTCTCTCATGTGTTTTCACTAATAACGCAATCGCGACTAAGAAAAGTAATCACAATTGGACTAGATCGCGATAGAACATGCGCCGTGCCTGTAGTGCCACTCTACCTGTTTAGTATCGTGTGATGGGCAGCACATCGTCAAACGGGAAGCTTTGATTATGATCAGGGCAGATCCGGATCTAGTGCGGCTAGGCGGTCACTCTTGATCGCGATCAGGTCCGATCGAGATCAAGAATATTGTTGTAAGTGCATCATAATCTGGCCGAGAGATCGCAATTTGATCGACGTCTGCGCATAACTACATCCCGTTCAGGTTAGACAACGTAGCAGCGACGAGAATCAAATTTGTCGCACCCATTGCATATCTTTTTCTTGAATAGAGCCAATTGTGATCGAGAATGTGTTCCTTATAGCATGCCCTCCTCTGGTCATTCCAATTGTACTGATTGAGTTTTCATCACCTTCAGAGTTCATCCTTAAAGAGGTACTGACACAAAAACGTTGGCCTCGCATTTTTTGCTGCAATGTGTTGCTGGAGGCCTGTTAGTCATGACACGACACATTTTGCCTAAGCACGCGACAAATAATTATTTACAGGCCCCTCATTAATAATCAGTTTCAGTTTCGATTTGAGAGAGTTTAAAAAATTGGGTTCATCTGTCGCCAATTAGCGTGTGCAGTTTTTGACCACGTCAACACACAAAACTGTGACGCACTTTCACGCGATTTGCAATAAAAAATAATTTTTGAATAGGAAACGGGACTGGAATGTCACCAAACACATAACTTTTTAAGCATGCGCCACGGCCACGCACTCGCAACCAGCCGCCGAGAAATATAGACTGCGGGAAGCACGGAGGAAAGAAAGGTAGGAGAGGCCCTGATGTCACTTGTTGTGAAGCCGCGATGTAGCCGGAAGTCGGCCATTTTGACTGGGCGAATCCTTTTCTTTTGTTTACATCTGAATGTAAAGCAGACCGACTCCGTGCCGATTTGGAATTTGTATATAATTGCACCACATAAGGCACGAATCTCTCTCCGGCTCGGAAAGCACGTGAGCTGCTCCGCGCGCGTGTCGTGACGATCCGAAACTAATGGAACAGGGCTCAACACTGGCCCAGTGCATCACCTTCGGCGAAATCATTTCGTCCGAGTATTAACGGCGAGTAACAGCTCACCGACAACGAAGCAAGTACAAGAGAATGCGCGCTAGATGCACTGACAACAGTGAGTGTTTTCACGTCATTAATTCAGCAACTGTACAGACAACACAAGCGGTCGTGCGCCTTCTACGGTTGCATTCCGCCACGCGGCCGACGCAGCATTTGGCCACTATGTCCATGTTCCGCGTGAAACTCACCGACGTCAGCATTCTGTGACTGTGGTGACTTTGAGCACGGTGCAAGTGACACTTGAACGCGGTTGATGTTACGTTGAGAATACCCTTCATCCCCCCTCAATGACCTTTTGAGCCTCCAGTTTCCCCGCAATAACGTTCTTGCAGAGTACACACTTGTGTCTTAACCGGTAAAACGGCCTTAATACAAAGGCTGTACTCACATATGAGTAAATCTGTAACCATACAAAAATTATGGCGTTGTGAAGTAATCAGCAGAAAGTCCACAGTTGGCATGAAACTTTTCAACCTTTATTCAAAAAAATAATAAGAAACAGATCTTCAACTTTTTACACCTCAACGGCAAAATAAATCGTGCGAAAAAACCCCCCGTAACCGGGGTGCACCACCCGCAGTGCTTCTGCAAATAGCACGCAACTCACTCGGGCATAAAGAATAATAACGAGGACAAACATCAAACATGGGTAAAAGAAAAGCACTAAATGCAAGGAACTAATAGAGTTCTGACAAATGTTTACCACAGGGGCATGAAAAGCAATATCAATACCGTCTCAAGAGAGTGCTGCAGTGCAGAATTTCAGATATGGTAGACGTGAGCGACTTATTTTTAGGGGGTAGAGGCGAGTCTGCGACACTACTGGTAATATTACAACATCAACATCGCACCAGAATTAAACAATCTTTTGTAGCACGGCCGATTGCGTGCAGAAAAATTGTAAAATGCTGTTTTCTAAAGGTCCTAAGGCAATGCTACCCATCGTCACCAAGCAACACAACTACCACAATTTAGAGCAAGTTACATGTGCTATTTACACAGGCACTGGGTGCTCTGTCGCGATATTATCACATGAGCTTCATGTCGTTTTTTTTTCAGCGAAAACCGAGGAGAAAGCACTTTCTAGTACTAATGCATGCCGGCATGGTGACACTGAACGCTTGATGTCTACACAAACACAGCATTAAACAATGTGCAAAAAACAACAAGAGTGGCTATTATAACACCGAGCTGTGGAAACGGGGGATGAAGTTACTGTAAAAATGCATGAGGTTGTGTAAACTTGAATGGAGAGGACCATTCATAACATCACTAGAGAGAAATGTGAATGTGCATTCTCCGCGTTTAGAAGTGGGCCGTACATCTTTCCTTTTCACTTATTCAAACTAGCGCCGACTTCACCTCCTCTTGCTGGGATGAGTCGATGCAATTTTCACAACCGAGCAACCAGATGCACTTAACTTTCAGCTTGCAGACAGCAAGTAGCAATGAATGAGCAGTAAGTTGAAAGCGAGATTCAAAAAGCTACAGCGTGTACATAACTGTGACCCAATGTGACGACACCGAGCGTGTGATAAAACTATTTTTGCAACTGCCGACACATGCACTCGATGTCCCATTTACGGGTCAGTATGACTCTGAAAAAACAAAGCAGGCACCTTTTTTTGCAGCACAAAGGTGTGAACACTACCTTATGCCCTATACCGTTAAATTCAGATTTACAACACACCTCATTTCAGAAAAGGGATATTGTGTATAATTAGTGATTTCAAAGATTAAGCCCCTATACAAATTAGCTGCTTTAAGTGTTGCTAACACTGAAAAACACGCATACTATTTATCTTTAAAACAATGTTTGCTGGGTGCCAACAGCCTGGGCTGAAACAACAGTAGACATGCATACGAAGGCTTTCCGAGCGCAGAGTAATTAATACAGTATTACACCTTGTACATGGATTCATACATTCAATGTCGCAGACCAGATAAGCACAAGCCTGCCAACTGCAGCAAAGCCATATCTTTACTTTCTCAATATGGCATACATATGCAAAAGTCACAATTGGCTAAGATGCATCATGTCCACATACACGTGATTTGGCAGCAAAGCAAGGATGATACCATACATGCACTCACTGGTGCATTCACGAACTGGTGTATGGTGAAAATGGTTCATACACTGTACAGCAAAACACCGCTCTCAACAGTTGGTTCAAACCATTAGCGAAAACTCTCAGCCCTGCTCGCGAAACAAATCATGTTTAAGAAACCTCCTTTAACAAAAGCAAATGCTGCAGGAAGGTGCCCATTGCAGATAAAACGAAAGAAGCTTCAAAACAGAGTTTATAGACCAGTTGAAATGTTAACCATAATACAAAACACATTGGGCTGCTTTTTACAACATGAATAAGGATAAAGAGTTTCTCTTTCATCACAACACAACAGCTTTTCCCACAGGAACAAACATATAGATGCGTACACAACAGTACCACAACAGAAACATCAATTGCGAGAATAAAGATTTTCATTCCAAGTGGGAAAGAAAGCAGAAACGTTAGATCCAGATGAAGCGTTCATTATAATAGAAACGTTTCATTGCTTTTCCCTCATTGGGCAATAGGAAATATCATCAAAAATGGTGCTGCAATGGTCCACTCTTAGTAAACACAAACATGAAAAATGGAGACGTTACTGCCTGATCCAAAAGTACCTCACATGGCAAGCTGCGTACATTATGCATTGGCAATATCCTGATTGTCACTATATATCTGGTTTGGTTAAATGTAAAAGCAATCGCACACTCTCCTCTGCAACTGACAATAGATCGTCTCTTTCCGAAAATTGCAACAGGCCGCGCACGACTGAGTGGTAAATTATACGTAGGCTTGACTAACAACAGCAATGCCTTTGAGGTACACAACCTTCCCAGCAATTCAAACTGTCAGTGCATAGAATATATACATTTGTTTTACATTTATATGTAAAACCAAACAAAACAGCATCTTTTCACTCCGCACGACAACTTTCAACATTCATCGCTAACTGGCCAAACACTACAGAACATCACAGCCAGATTGCAAAAGTCATGTCATTCTTAAAGAAAGCACATATAGACAAATATAAAAGTCACAGTAAAAAAAAGTCGTATACCGTTCAGCGCATGCAATACAATATTTTTACAGACAGCCGCAAGAGAACAGTCTTCTGAGCAACGTACAGTCCATCCAACATTGAATAAAAGCTCTCTTTCTCGAACAAACATCTAGAGGCCTCATGGATCCCAGACTTTGAAAGCCTCTTCACATGAGGCACACTTCCAACCAGCTGTGATGCTAGAACGAGGTAAAATCTCTGGCGTGAAACATCAATATCAAAACTAAGTGTTGCGTATGTTCAAAATACCGACATCACTGTGAGCAGCATCACATTATAGTACTTGTTCCCCATACGCCATCGATGACGAATGCAAAGCGCATTCAGTATCAGCAGTAGAATCAAATGCAAGATGTGCACTAAACGCCATCAGCGAGCCACACTGGCTCCCCGCATTAGTGACGCGGTGGAGACCGAACACTCAAAGCTCCGGTCTATTACAAACACCACCACCTAAGTGCACTGCCATCCTCATCCCGCCAACAGTTAGCGCTATCCTAAAGGAAGCACGCATAACCTTCGAAACACCGTCCCCATAGAGGACACAGTGCAGCGGTTTAAAATGGCACCTCTATTCCAGTGTGTGGGCAAACATGCATTGTCTAGCACTGGCATGCCCAGGATTCAGTGTTTGCTTGGAAGTCGCAGTCCTAACTCTTATTCGCAACAGAGATGCTGTCTGAACAAGACTAAACCAGAAATTACAGCTCAGGTATGTGCCCCTCTGCGTTATCAGCACTATGTCAACAACAGACGTCAGTTCTGGTGGCCATCAACAGATGTTACGAGCTTGCGTTGCTGTTCCGGAGGTATGAGCACTTCTTAACTTCGCTAACACGCTGCTAGAACTTCAACCGCTGCGGGGCTGCAATGATTAGATAATGAAGTCGAATAGGCAAACAATGCACAATGTTGACAGTCATAAAATTACCTATATCACATGGTAAAAAACAAAACAACACAACCTTAAAAACAACCGGGAGAGAAAAACATGCGGGGTGCATCAATAACTATGCAACAGTCACACGTCTTGAATACAAAGAAAATGCAACATTGCACCAAGAAAAACAAAAATTGCCTTTTAGGCATGTAAGAACACAAAAGGTCAGTAAGTGAAAGACATTTTGTTTAGGCTCCCACCCTTTGGTCAACATAGAGCTTTCGCCTGACAAAAAGGAATTTCCGACAGATGCCAAGCAAGGCCATCCTAGACGCTGTGCTTTCAGGATTTTGGAGTGGCAGAGGACATTTTGCTTTCTCAACAGCCACGTGTTACTTCCAGAGAGGGCTTACCAGGCTAGGCTGTGACGGGGGAAGCCACAGTTAAGCAGAGCTGATACCAGTGGGGGCTATGAGGCCTACCCGAGTTAGGTACCACTTGGGCACCGTGTGCTGCCTATATCAGATACCACAGACTTCCCCACTCAATTGCTATCTAAAATATTCGCACAGATCTCGTTCAGTTGAGCATCTAACTTTGCCCCAGGAATCCTGAGGCACCTTGCCGAAGTCACAAGGGACACCTCATAAGCCTTGCATCAATTAACACCAACAGTGATATGCACAATGGCGAAAATGTCGTAAAACTAGTGCTGACATTGCCAAACTGCTAAAAGCTCTGCCATTATGTTTGAATGCATGTACAGCACAGCGCAATTTAAGAAGAATACCTAGCAGGCAATCATGCTAGGATAACCGCAACACTTCTTTGATCCTTGAAAAAAATAAGAGCTAATGAGAAAAGCAGTCGATGAGGTTGGTATTTCCATACGAAACAATTGTTCTCAGTCCTTCAAGTCATAACTCTCAGTTTTAACTAATGGCAGAACAATCAGTCGGATGTGCAGCTTCGGCAGTCACTGCAAACCACCACCTCCAAGACAGGCAAAACAATTGCCACGCATAATGTAAGCGAGGAGAGTACAAAGAGTTAAAAAAATGGTTTTGATACCTTAGCAGTTTTCCTATGCTTAACGATAATGGAGGATGTCATCCTCTGCTGTCCTAATACAACAGCGTTACTTGCGTTCAAGACTAAACTACATGCATAACAACTGCTACCTAGAGCAGCCAGCATATATAAACAACTCCGGACTTATTCAAAACCGAGTGCTATGTACAACACACATGAAACCTGGGCTTGCTACGCCAAAAAAAAATTAGACACTTTTAGACACCTTTCATGGGGCATAAGACTGACTGTGGCGGCATGACCTGTAGGAAAGGTCAACTCGGGACAGTACTGCACCCTTGCTATAGTATCAATCTCGACTTAAACAACAAACAGGAGCACCTACATGCCCGAATGTGTGCCAAGTGACCAGCTGGCTAAGTTTACTTTTGGTGGTAGTTGGCAAGCTCGAACCCAACTGCACTCTACAGAGGTGTTAACGCCACTTTAGAACAATAAACAAGAGGTGTGGAAAGGGTGCCAAATATTCCAAGATTTGAAGGTATGCTACCGTAAGCGCAAATATGCTTCTAGTAGTCCTAACATTTCAGAACGTTGGATGCACACAAATAAACAGCAATATGAATCTGAAGGTTTTTGTACAGAAAACCTACTACTCAACTCCTAAAGCCTGATTCGTGGTTTTAATGTTGAAATATGAGCACCACGATGTGAACATTTCTATTAGGGTAGAAATGGCCTTCCATAATTTGGAACACTGTTTGCTGGTGTTCTACATACAACACAGTTCAATTTCCTTTGCATGCTATTCTGCTTGCACTGAACCTCTAGTAACACTATTGACACATCCCTAAAAATATATTGTGCAGCTGTGAAGAAAACGCCACAAAAAGAAATATTTGCTTTACACTGAAACTTATGAAGTGGCCGCCAGATGACATTCCAAGCAATATGCTTTTTCTTATCTATGATTGAAAACAAGCGCAGACAGGAGCGAACCAAGCGCTGAAAGGAAACGACGCACAAAAAAGCGATTTACGATTATGCAACAAAAAAAACGAGCGGTCGTTTCATTAGTTAACACAACGCTTATTACTGACCTCCCTTGCATGCGGTGTAACACGGGAGACAGGTGATGTCGACAGCACGTCTTTTGTGCAATTATTCCTTCAGCAAGGTTAGAGCCAGTGCCCAGTACAGTCACTGAAGAGACCCGAGGACATGTCAAGGCGATTATGATGGGCAGAAGCCTGGCACACGTTAATCAATGTAGGGTTGTACTCACAGAAACAAAGCTCTGGTAAACTGGTCAGTTGTGGCACATTTCTCATTATGTGCAATAGCGTGGGGTTACACATGGTGTCACCCACCCACAGTGGGGCATCGTACTTATTTTTTTCCAGCCTCGTGCAACTGCGTCTGTTAACTTCACTCGAAACAGACCAGAATAAGGCCACCGCACTGCACAAATTATACACACAACAATACACAACACTGCAGTCTCTATCGGATATGCCACCACTTGCTGTTGACTTATCCAGATGCCAAATCCACCGCGGGAGGCATCGGCAGATGCAGATGTAAACCTGCTGTGTGTCATTGTCGCACCAGTGTTGCACCAGTGTTGCACCGTCACGGTGCTCCCATTCAGAGTGACAAGAGGTCGTCCTCGCGGTCGAGCGAACCTGCCTCGCGACTGCTCGTGCCCGAAGCCACGAACTGCCGCCGCTCTTCCTCCTCTTGAGGCTTCAGGCCACTCGAGAAGAAGGGCGGGCTGGCACCTAGGCGTCCAAAGGCAGCCTCCATTTCCTGCGGGCACAAAAGCAAAAAAAAGAAGTCAAAGTTCTGCAGGATCGCCGCGTGGGGGCCACGGAGTGCGGACGCACGTCGCACTGGCTCCGCAGTTTTTTTAAATATTATTGGCACGATATTGAAGTTCTTAGCTCCATTTTTTACCCAGTGGACGACGGAAGTCCTGGAGATCTTCTGGACACCACCTTTTCACAGGTGGGCTGCATCTTTTTGGTGCAACAACCGTGGTTTTTGAGTCGCCATGTCAACGCAGCAGCTAAGCTCAGCGAATGCGAACTGGACGCTAGTGTCTCCACCGCCGTGGTGGTCTGGAGAGCTCGGCCGAACGTGCCGTCGGAGCTATTCCGGGCCCCCCGTTCCTCTTCGAAGGCTCGATTGATGCCGAATTAGAGGTCATACCTGTCGACAGAGAAGATGTACCACCGGAAGAGTTTAGAAAAGGGTCAGGCTGGTGCGAAGTGCGAAAAGGCACCAAGACGCAGATCGACCGGGAGCCCAGCTCAGCGAGAAATACGCCGTTGTAGAAAAGGCGCCAAGAAACAAATGGAAGAATGAGCGGAACGCTCGAAAAATCATCAAGGCCAGTCGACAGCCCAATCTGCCAACGGAAGATTATAAAATCATTGGGCATCCGCGTGGTGGGCTTAACGTCTCTGATTACAGTATAGATTGCATATATTGCTGCCTGTGCAACGCTGCAGGGGTCGGCCGGGAGGCGGCTGTGGAAGACAGTAACTGCATCAAAAACAAACATACTCGTCATCAGTACACCATCCTAGGATCGAGCCCGACAATATGGAGCCATTACCAAACTACGAAGAGGTCAGCAGGAATTTGAGACCAGTGCGTACAGGGCAGCCCCGAAGAACATGTCAAGGAGACTGAAACAAGGGGTGTACAAGAAAGAGAGCCCAGAAGACATATTTAGCAACTTGGTCACTTCACGTAACCCAGGAGTCTTTCGTGCGAAAAAGATGGAAAACACGGACATTATTGCTACATGCCAGTGCATGGAGTTGAAGAAGACAAAGCAGATAGACTGGCGCAAGCTAATCTGTGCGGCTGGCGCTGCTCGCTTAACCGGCTGTAAATACATCGGTGACTACACCTCTGAGTCAGTCTCCTTCTCGTAACATATTTGGTGGAGTTGTGCGATCCTCATCCTCACCACGGAACTCCGAAGCGGACGCTCCCTCACGGCTTTCAACACGACCACTCAAGACTCGGCTACATCCCATCCAGTCGCCCGCCCTTCTGCCCAGCCTGTCAACTCAGCGCCCGCAACAAATTTTCGTGACGCTTCTCGCGCTCAAAGGCCCCGGCGTGTTCTCGGGCCACGAGGGTTCCGACGTTTACCAGTGGCTACGCCTCTACGAACGCGTCAGTGCCACACACAGGTGGGATCCCACTCTTATGCTCGCAAACGTCGTCTGTTATCTCGACAGAACCCCTCGTGTTTGGTTTGACAACCACGAGCATGACATAACAAGCTGGGACAGCTTCAAAAAAAGATCCATGAGCTTTTTGGCAACACCTCTGGTCGTCGTGAGGCTGCGAAAAATGAGTTGTCATCTCGCGCACAATCTTCCACAGAGCCCTACATCGGTTACTTTCAGGCTGTCCTCTCACTACGCCGTCAAGCTGACGAAAACATGTCCGAGCCTGAAAAAGTTGCGCATATCCTAAAGGGTATCACCGACGATGTGTTCAACCTGTTAGTATTCAACAATGTGTCATCTGTTGATGCGATCGTTCAAGAATGCCGCCGGTTCCAACAAGCTAAAAGCAGGCGCATCTCCCATTAGTTCCAGCGCCTTGCGAACACCACTGCGACGTCCTTAGGTCTCGACACATATCGTCCACCAGACACCTGTGACAACTTGACGCGACTGGTCAGGCAGGAACTTGAAGCGGCTGCTCCAGCTAAGGTGGGAACAGCGTCCCCTGACCCCTCTCCTCCAATTACGTTGCCTCTCATTCAAGCAGTTGTCCGGCAGGAAATCGCCACCTTGGAAATTCACTCTATGTCACCGCCTCTCCGCACCGTCTACCAGCCCCAATACACGCCTGCACGTCCCTTCCCGACTGGCTCTCCCTCAACGTTCCGTAATTCGTCCGCATAGTGAACACACGATGACAAGCCAATCTGCTTCTCCTGTCACGGAACCGGCACATTTCTCGCCATTGCAGAAGTCCCTGGGGTCCTCCTGCCGAACAGTCTTTTCGTCCCTTCTATGCACCGAAATTGTGGCCCAGTCTTCACATTGGTACGAGCAAGTCTCGATTAGCTGAAAAACCGAGACGAAAATTGGGCGACGCCTAACTTTGCCTAAAAATGTTGAACGTGATCACGATCCTGTTCTTAGTGCATACAAAAACATAGTGCATACTTTTTATAATACAATGTTATTTGAGAAGTGGATCTTGGTTTGAGTACAATTTAGTCAATGAAGTTGAAAGTGGCTGGTGCCAGTGAAGCTCTGAGATGTGGTTCTTTTTGTGTAGTGGGTAAATGCTTTCAACCACGAGCATTTATTCTCTTGAAATCTTTTGAAGGTTCCTATGCGAGCACTACATTGTTTATTGAATTACGGGCAGTTAAGTGTGTATCTTTTGTTATGGCTGGCGAGCATTTGGTGACGAAGTCTTTTGAAAATAGCAGCTTTTGGTGCCCGATCGCTTCTACCACGCAATATTGATTCGATATTAAATGTTGTATTGTGAAGACTGTATAGAGAACTCAAATGTGTTTGTAAAGCATGAAAACGTTTTCAATGAATTCAGTGTAATGTGTTAGAAGAAGAGGAAGTTATCTTCACTAATGTTTCAAGCAGACGCATGGCTGTGTGGTGGAACACCTCTTTGCTACACAAACAGCTTAGGTTCCACCCTCACTCGTACAGGGTATTGTTAAACATTTATAATATTTGAGTGTTGTTATTATTGAGGTGATGGACAAGATGAGTTTTCGCTCCCAACAAACGACGCTGACGTCGACGTGGAAATTTCAGCACAACAAGCTTTTATTGGTATGGCGTTAAACTCCAGCTATTATTCATATATAACTTCGTCGCTCCATCTTTGCGGCCCCGCCGCGGTCGTCTTGTGGCTAAGGTACTCGGCTGCTGACCCACAGGTTGCGGGATCAAATCCCGGCGGCAGCAGCTGCATTTGTCAAGCTCGTCAGAGTGATCGACAGACGCCCAATACATCGTGACCAAGAAAAAAAAAGCCCTCTTTAATAATTCGTCGTGAAATATATAGTCATAATTATCACATGACTCCCGTGATAACCGGATAAAGAAAACCAAGATAACGCGTGTCTTGGCGCTTGTCTCTGGAGCAGGCGTCCACGAAATGCAGCAGGATGACGTCACATCTTCCCCGTTTTATAAACATCGTGGGCCTGCCAAAAAAAGGAAAACATTTAAGAAATTAATCGTCAATACAAGGTCTTTTCGGAGCTCGTATGACGCGCCCACATCGCGTCGTACTTTGCTCAGGACTTCATGTTTTGTTCGATGAACGAGGCTTTTGGATGTATGACGACTTGGTAATTACGATGTCTTTGTCCGTCGCGTCCGTTGGCTTGCTGTTTCGTGGATGCTGCTCCATTCTTACGGGGCTTGTTTCTCCTCCGTGTGGGAGAAGGAAAAGATGACGCCTGTTTCTGCGTACGGTTTTTCCTTCAGTTCGGATCCAGTAGGATCTCGGTGTTTTAGAAGGACGAAGGACCGTGTCCTCGGCGCCTCTGTCTTGTGGATAGACAGAGAAGATGTCTCGCAGCATGACGTTTGTTAAAATACATCTTTTGTTTTTGTCTGTATTTTCGTCTTGCTCTTTTCAAGAAGGCTCTACTACTTCTGGCTTTAGCTCGGATGGCATGCAGGGTACTTTTGAGCGTAAACGGCGGCTCATTAGCAGCTGCGCTGGACTATAGCCGGTTGGACCCGGCGTGTTTCTATAGTTCAGCAATGTGATGTAGGGGTCCTCTGCCTTCTTCAAAAGTGTTTTAAGAGTCCCTACCATGCGCTCAGCTTCCCCGTTAGCTTGAGGGTAACGAGGACTTGTTGTGACATGCCTAAAGTCGTAGTTTCTTGCAAAATCAGCAAACGTGAATGAGATGAATTGTGGTCCGTTGTCTGATATTACCGTTTGCGGTATCCCATGTCTGGCAAAGCAGCTTTTCAGGTGCTGGATGACCGCCTTCGACGACGTTCCTCGATCCAGCAGGGCCAGCTCAGGATACCTGGAGTGATAATCAACAACGGCAAGATAGACAGCTCCTTTCATCTCAAATAAATCAATTCCGATTTTCTGCCATGGCAGCTAGGTTGTTTCCGATGGAATCATTGGTTCGGTAAATCGGGTACGCTCTGTGGCGCATGCTTGGCAGTTGGCCACGGTTTGTGCAATGTCTTTGCTAATTGCTGGCCACCAGAGAGATTCTTTAGCGCTCGCGCGGCAGCGTGCAATTCCCTGGTGTCCCTCGTGAACCCTCCGAAGATGTTACCACGATGCGCCCAAAATGGCTTGAGAAGTTGTGGTGTGTAGTGCTTAGCGGGCCAGCCTTGCATACAAGCTTCGAGCAACGACGCACATTCGGGGTCGTTTGCTTGCTCTGAGCGTATGCGTTCGAGCATGTCGTCAGAGAACGCATGTTGAACGACTCCCTCCACGAGAGCCGAAACGTCTGCTTCAGTCAACTCTCCGACCGAAAGCGCAGTGTTCATAACTCTCGCGCGAGAAAGTGTGTCCGCCGTAGCAATACTTTTCCCTGGGACGTGTGTTAGCGTGAACGAGTACCGCATAAGACGCCTTCTGAACCTTTGAATTCTTGGCGGTAGAGAATCAAGAGGATCTCGACCCAGTAGCGGGAGGAGAGGCTTGTGATCCGTCTTAAATAGGAACGTGAGGCCTCTTAGGAATTCGTCGAAGCGTTCCGCGGCCAAAGGTAAAGCTAATGCTTCTTTTTCGATCTGTGAATACCTCTGCTCTGTTTTTGTGAGCGATCGGGAGGCATATGCAACAGGACGTCTCTCACCAGACGGCCGATCCTGGAGGAGACTTTGGCTTCCTGGAAGCTTCCCATAACTTGCTCAATTGCTGGCAGTTGATGACGCTCTCGTCTGACGAATTGGTTCAATTGAGTTAAGTCAACGCAGATCCTTACTGCTCCAGACGGCTTCATTACAGGAACGACAAGCATGCACCATTCTGTCGGTTCTTCGACCTTCTGTATCATTCCTTCTCGTTATAGCCTGTCCAGTTCTTCTTTGACTTTTTCTTTCATGGGAATGGGAACCCGTCGCGGTGTAGACAGACTATACGGGATTGCATGTGGCATAAGGCGTATGGTGTGTTCTCCCAATATGGTACCCGTGCCTTGGAATATCTTGGGATATTTGCTTCCGATATTGTCAGCAGTGTCTAATTCATCTAGGAAGCGAACAATTCCCAGAGCTTTTATGGCTGGTAGTCCCAACAAGGCGTGCGCAAGCTCTGCACGACGTAAATGGTTTGTTGTGAACAGCTGTCTTTCCAAGATATTTTAGCGTCAAACTTTCCGATCGTACGCATGCTAGTAAGATCGGCTGCGTTTTCCAAAAAAGGCGGAAGAAAAGGATAATTTTCACCGACGACTGTCACTTCGGCTCCCGTATCTACTTTCATGCGGAGCGTCCGGTCGTTTATTTTTACCGTCACGAAATTCTCAGATTATGTGTTCGCACACTGCTCGACCGTGCCTATAAACTTGCCATCAGCCTTGGCGATGCTATCGAGATTTGCGTCTCTGTGCTTTCTTTTTCGGCATGCCTTTTAATAGTGGCGCAGCTTCCGGCAAAATCTGCACGTTTCTTTTTGCGCTGGACACTTTTTTCGCGGGTGAAATGGTCCGGCACAATAGCTGCAGTTATTTGATAATAAGTGGGCTTCTGACGGCGAGTAAACGTGCTCTTTGAAGCGGCTTTCTTGGGCCTACTGCAGCGACGCAAGCTTCTGGGACTGTGCCTCTATGCTCTTTTAGTTCTGCTTGCTGTTGCTTTACGGTTTCGCTCGTACGCGCTCTTGCCAAAGCAGTGGCCATCATTAGCTTGGGGTCCATCTGCACTTCTTCCGAAAGAACCTGGTCCCGTAGTCCTACTACGAAGCGGTGTCTTATTAGGCATTCCTTCATGCTTGCGAACTCGCATCTGTCGGCTAACTTGCTAAGCTCGGTTGCGAACTGGTCTACTGTTTCTCCCAGTTGTTGGCGGCGTAGATTAAAGCGAGCACATTCGTAGACTATGTTCTTGGTGTGGACAAAGTAGTCGTTAAATTTAGATTTTATGAGTTTGAAGTCCTCCATTTCTTCGTCTTTTACGTTTAGCGACCGAAGAATCTCCCTCGACTTTCTGCCCATAGTATAGAGAAGAGTCCTTACTTGAACTTTGTATTTTTTCCAAGTAGCCCAGACACGAATCTGTAGTCGTCAAATTCGTCCATCCAGGCGGGCCAGTCCGCTGCGTTCTGGAAGTCGAAGGGCTTAGGAGGCTTGGTTCCAGCCATTCTGAAGCGTTGTCGCCGATACGGCTTGTTCTCGTAGACGCAGCTGCAAGTCGATCGCTTGTTGACGGGGCCGTTGAGGCGCTAGTTGGCTACATCGGGACCACTTCTGACACCTTGTCAAGCTTGTCAGAGTGATTGACAGACGCTCGTTACATCGTGACCAAGAAAAAAAGCCCTCTTTAATGTTTCGTCCTGAAATATATACAGTCAGAATGATCACATGACTCCCGTGATAACCGGATAAAGGAAACCAAGATAGCGCGTGTCTTGGCGCTTGTCTCTGGAGCAGGTGGCCATGGTAGCAGCAGGATGACGTCACAGCATTTACAATGGAGGTGGAAATGTTGTAGGCCCGTGTGCTCAGATTTGGGTGTACGTTAAAAAACCAAGAGGTGATCTAAATTCCCGGAGCCCTCTACTACGGCGTCTCTCATAATCATAAGGTGGTATTGGGACGGTAAGCCCCACAAATCAATCTCCATCTTTGCGGTCGCACCACGCTTCGGCTACATTGATAAATTCCAAACGCATGCCGGTGCAGACAATGAGTGTTCACTGCCCAAAACTAGAACAGATATCGGAAATCATGGTTATACTTATTATTTCTCTACTGAAACGTTGCGTATAAGGTCTTACAGAAAATACTGCACTCTTTATTCTATTCATGTATAACCCCGCTTTGCCCGGAGGTGTTACAGCTCGGATTTACAAACATCAAAAAGCACATCTTAATCGTTGCGGCACATTTGCTCAAACAGCAGACCATTCCCCTTGTTGATAGTTTTCACAAAAAACGAATTAGCATGCTGGTTTGTGCTGGCCTGGTATGTCCTTATTTTGTGTATATGATCCACTGATTGATTTACATGTGGTGTTTAACGTCCCGTTACTACCTAATGATTATGAAAGACGCCGTAGTGGGGAGATCCGGAAATTTCGACTACTTGGCGTTCTTCAACGTACACCCAAATCTGAGCACACGGGCCTACAACATTTCCTCCTCCATCGGAAATGCAGCCGCCACAGCCGGGATTCCATCCCGGGACCTGCGGGTCAGCAGCCGAGTAAACTAGCCACTAGTTCACCGTGGGGGGGCGTGCATATGATGCAAGGTCTTGCCACAAGTTTTATGGTAAACCTACGTGCGTAAGCAAATTTATTAGTTTATTGTGCTGCATATTTTCGTACGCTTTAGCAATATGTAGAGTTGCTAGCGTTGCAACATGTTTCTTAGAACGAGCTTGTTGTATCCTGCTTTCGAAATCAACATGGGCACACCAATTATATAAAGCAGCCATGCGTGAATTCAATTCGGCATCTTGAAAGTTTATTTAAAATCAAGATGGGTGCTAAAAAGTCGAAGCATGTGGGATTTGAAGCTAAAAAGAATCCGCGAACTTTTGCTTCGATAAAGAGCTACTTCGCCGAAGAGTGGTGAGGTTGGCTTACGAAGTGCTTCTGCAGTTGGTCTCAGTCAGCGGGAGGTTTCAGCTGATGCAGCCGCTTTGGCGGTGTGCCAAGTTTCTTTGGTGGAAGCTTGTTCCCGCTCTCCGCAAGAGCAGGGCGGCTTGTGTTCTGCCACGAGCCTTGTCGCGTTTCTGTCAACGTCCTCCGCAGCGCAGATTGTTTCTCGAAGTGCTGTGGCAGCGACCGTGTGTAGAAAGGTAAACATGGCTGGCCAGCAGCTGAACGCATGGCAGTGGGCTTTGCACTCCTCGTGTGCCTCGCAGAGCATAACAACTGGCCTGGCGCTGCACGGTTGTCAACTGGCTTTGCCATTTTGTTTGCCTTGCATAGGAGGAACTCACTTGGCCTGTCGTCGTCTTGGAAAGATTCGTCTGGACAGCGGCTTTCTTCATGACGAAGTGGGCGTGGCAAGCTTGGATGTTTCTGCAGCTGTCTTGGAGCAGCATTCAATCGTAGCCAGAGACGAGCGCATCCACACAACGATCCATGGAACATTTCTTCTTCTCTCTTTCTTCTGTGGCTCCAAACCACACTCAGGAATGGACCAAGAATTTAGGGGTCTTATAAGGAATGATAAATCAGGCAATCGGGAGGAATAGAAATACTAAAAATTTCAGCTCCATATACAAACTTCCGACTTGTCGTCACATTTTGTGCATCTGTAGCAATAAGTACGTTTATTTGACGCTCTGCAAGTGCTTTTTCAATATACCATCTGGGGTGTGATTCACCGACCGAGTCAGCAGCCGCGTAGTTGTTGTTGTTGTTGTTCTCCTATCGTTAGTGGCGCATACCCACTGTGGGGGATTGGCCAAGAATCGAGTGGAGTACCGTTCCCGGTACCATTCGCCACGAGTGCACGTGCCGATGACGGTGACATTGCTGCTGTCCCGTGACGTATCAATTTACATTAGCCTTTATTACCGAAAATGTGGTCCAGCCTCCTCATTGGTACGAGCAAGTTTTGAGTAGCTGAAAAACCGAAACGAAAATTGGGGGACGCCTCTTTGCCTAAAAATATTGAACGTGATAACGATCCTGTCCTTAGTGCGTACATTAACAACTTAGTGCATACTTTTTATAATGCAAAGTTATTTGAGAAAAGGATCTTGGTTTTAGTACAATTTAGTCAATGAAGTCGAAAGTAGCTGGTGCCAGTGAAGCTATGAGATGTGGTTTTTGTAGGGGCGAAGCTCCTTAAGACCTCACGATGTCTGCCGTCTCCCGTCTGGCCCTAACACGTCTTCATCTGTCTGACATTTCTGAACCATTTTCTATGTAACCTTCAACTTATAAGCAACAGAGGACGTTGGTGGTAAGTGTTTTGCATGTAACATTCAACTTCAAGCGACAGAAGGCGCTGTGGTTAGTTGTAGATGTGGATGGTTAGTTGGTTAGTTGTAGATGTGGTTAGTTGAAGGCGGTGGATCGACGTCTTTCTTGAACGCTCCCGATCGACTGCGCAATTAGTTGTTCTGCATGTTTTGAGCTTGTTTTTTAATTTTAAGACAGCAGTTAAAATCACTGTAGCGCTTATTTTAATGTACGGCTTTTTCGGGGTCAGGCACCAGGTATTTATTAGTTTGTGCGTGTGTGCGTGTTTGAATTTTTGTTTTTTGTTTTTTCTTTTGCCACCCCGCGCGCGAGGTGCACGTGCATTGAACACGCAATGTTTGTACGAGAGCTTAGATTTTCTCTTTTTCCTAGGGCAGGGCTCGAGTTTTCTAATTATCGAGTGAGACAAGTCGTAGGAACATTTGGTGTCGGAAAGACATGGTTAAAAGACTGTAAATTGTTCAGGATGTGGGGTGGCTTTGAAAGTGGACCAGAGTGTAGAAGCGGAAGGAGAAGAGGCTGACGGGAAGTGTAGGCAATGTGAGGTCGAGAAAAAAATGGAGAAATGATGGTTGGCCAGAGTGACCTGCTGATGAGAATCCCGAACTCGAGATTGCGTTGGCGACAGAGCAGAGAAAACGAGGGCTATGGGAGAAAGGCTGAAGTCCGCCGAGGACACTAGCCAAGGGCAACAGAGAAGCGGCCTACGGAGATAAAAGTAGGGAACCGGCAACTAGAACTGCGGAGAAGAAGATCAAGCAATTTCGGAAAAAAACGGTTCAGCCGTTCAATTGTCGCAAGGCCCAGCTTCAGCTAAGTAGTGGTGGGGCTGAGAGCGGACAAAGCAGCCGGCGTCGCAGGTGCAAGTAACCCCCTTGTGCAGGACGCTCCAGCTGAAAAGTCACAGCATGTGATAATCGCCGGGCACTCGAATTTAAATCCATGCACAGGAGCCATCAAAGAGAGGGTAAGGGTGACAAGAGGGTTGCAGTAGGGGCATTCCCAGGACGCAAGTTGGAAGCAGTCATGAGGCAAGCGAACGCAAAACCAAACTACAGCTGTATACGAAACCTCGTGATAATTTCAGGTTGTTTAAACGATGTCTTAAATAAAGATACAGCAGGACTAGCAACCACACAGCGAAAGGCGTCGATGACATGCGCGCCACTTCTCCTAAGGTACAGGTGGTGATATGCACGATACCGGAGGTACCGGTGCTTGATAGAAACCCGCAAAGAGCGGTTGTCAACGCAAACCAAGAGATATGGCGGATGAGCCGAGAAAAAGGCTTTGAGGTGGTGGAATAAACAGAGAGGTGCATTGGTGGGGTGGTTTTCAACGAGACAGAATTCACTTCGATGGGCAGCTAGATCACGAGGTGGGTTGGCGACTTGCAGGACGTGCAGTAGCTTTTCTGGGGGGCAAGCGGGCCCTTCGAGGTGCAGGATAGCTAGTAACGAGGGAAACAACCAGGGAGACTCTTTGACAGGTGGTATGGACAGATACGATTCCAAAGTGGCACCAATATCTAGGATAGGTAGAGTGCGGGCAGAAATAGACGTAGTCACGAGCACCGAGCCAATTCAGACATAGGGTATATTAACATGCAGGGTGGAAGGAACAGGCTGAAGTGGGAAGAAATTCAAGAACAGCTAAGGGAGCGAGGCCGATGGTATACGGTTTTGTAGAAACACATCTCAGGGACATGGAACAGCCTCCTAACAATGCAGACTACGCGTAGGAATATTGTAAAAGAACAAAGGCAGCAGAAAGGGGGGTGGTATTAGGGCATTCATTCATAAAGTACAGACTGGCAAAGGGTCAAGCTGGACTGCAACGAATATTTATGGCTGAAATTGAAAGTGGCAAGGTAAATGACACTCCTCGGTTTCGTGTACTTGTGGACGTGTACTTGTGGAAGGCCAGAGAGGAAAACCATGCAATGGTAGAGTGTATATCAAATGCCATTCAGGAGTTAGAAGGAGTGTGCGAGATAATTATACTAGGACATATGAATGCGCATATAGAAGATGTAGAGGAGTATACCAACCCGACAGGCGAAATGATCATGAATATGTGCGAAAGGCTTGATTGATAATTTGTAACAGTACCGACAAGTGTGAAGGGCAAATAACATGGGAGGTGGGAAGGCTGCAGTCGACGATAGATTGCGCACTGATGTCACAAAGGATGTATGA